AACATTAAAGAAAGAAACTGAAGACACTAAAAGATGGAAAGATCCCCTATATTCATGGACCAACACAATTAATATTGTTAAAATGGCCACATTACCGAAAGTAATCAACAGATTCAGTGTAATCCATCAGAATTCCAATAGTATTCTTCACAAAAGTAGAAAAACAAAATTCTAAAATTCATATGAAGCACAAAAGACCCAGAATATCAAAAACAGTCCTAAGTTAAAAGAGCAAGGCTCGAGCCATCACAATGTTTGTTTTCAAACTATACTACAAACCCACAGTAACAAAAACATGGTTGTGGTGTAAGAATAGACACACAGACCAGTGAAACAGCCAGAGGACAGAAACAAACTCGTGCAACTTAAGCCACCTGATTCTGGACACAGTGACCAAAAGTATCCATTGGAAAGAAGACAGCCTCTTTAACAAATGAATCTGAAAACTGGATATACATATGTAGAAAACTGAAGCTACATCCTTAATTCTCAGCTATACAAAAATCAGTTCAAAATGGATCAAAGAGCTAGGTATAAGACCTAAAACTTAGACACCAACAGGAAAACATCTGAAGCCATATATACAGGCAGAGACTTCCAGTTAGGATGCCAGTAGCACAGGAAATAATAGCAAGAGTCAACAAGCGATACTTCTGTGCCACCTGAGAATTAATATCTACAGTATATCAAGAACTAAAAAAAAAAGTCATACTGTCCAGTCAGTAAATGGGCAAAAGAGTTGTACAAGCCACTTGTTAAAAGAAGTAAAAACAGCCAGTAAGTCATTTCCATTAGGGAAGTGTAAATCAAAACTACATTGAGATTCCATCTCACTAGTTGGAATGGCTATCATCAGGAATATAAAAGCAGTGCTTGAGGAGTTTGGGGTAGGATCTGTACTGCTCATGGGAATATAAATTAGTACATTCACTAAAGAAATCAGAATGCAGGTTCCTCCAAAAACTAAAACTAGAACTGCCATATGACCCAGTTATACTATTTCTTGGAATACATCGTAAATAATTAAAGTCAGCATAAAACTGCATACCCATGTGTAATGCGGTACAGTTCATGGAACCAGCCTAAGTGCCCACCTACGGATTATTTAGATAAATAGTGGTGTATATATGCATAATGAATATTAATTACTCCATCACAGAGAAGACAGAAATTATGTCATTTGCAGGAAAATGGATGTAACCAGGGACAGTCATACTAAGTGAAATAAACCAGACTCAGAAAGACAGGAACCACATTACTTGTAGAATCTGAAAAACATGATAAAATAGAAGGGGGACTCTTACTGACAAGAGGAAGGGGAGAGGGAGAAGATGTAAGGATGGGTAATTGGGGATGGATATGTTCAAAATATATGCGTGTATGAAAACACTATATTGAAACCCAGTTATTTTATAAAGTTAATAACTAATGTTTTATTTAAAAATGGGACTAATATTCATGTATTGCTTTGTTTCCTTTCTATCCTCTACATGGTTCTTAAAAGATTTTTCCTAAAAAATAAGTAAAAGGTTTTTCCTAACACATTTGAATGCAGATATAGTACCCTGCAGATTGTTACTCAGCTGTAAGCCTTTTTATCTATTTTAGTTTTAAGTAATTACGTGTATTTATGGGGCATGATGTGATGTGTGCATACACTACAGGATGATTATATCGTGGCTTTAAGCATGTGCTGATTGTTAAAAGTGTTTCAAAGCAAAGTATGATGGCACCTGCCAGAAATTCCAACCGTCTAGGAGGCAAGGCCGGAGGATGGTGAGTTCCAGACTAATCTAGACCACATAGCAAGTTGGAGGCCTTCCTGGAACACAGAGATCTTGACTCAAAAAAACAAAACAAAACAAAAACAGCTATGTTTCAAGAAGAGAGATTTGCAAAGCAGCAAGAGCTTGTGAATATGACAGCCGCTTCGGTCAGTAGCGCACTGTGTGAGTGACGAAAGGCACTGGTTGCAGCCTTTTGACTTCATTGCGTATGTGCATGAAATGCTGCTGTAGTCTTCCACTCTGTCCTGCCGGGGGACGGGGCTCATTTACAAAGGCAGTAATGTTTAAAAACTAAAGATAAGTTCTGAGAATGATTTTAGTATCTTGAGTTAGTTCATCTCATTGAGAAATGATACACCTCCACACTGTAGATGTAAGCTATCCTTTATTATTTTCCCAGTAAACTCTTCTCTTCCAGTTATTCTGTTTTTTTAAATTTATTTTAAAAGTAAAAGAAGGAAAACATATTAACAAACAGACATCCACTTAGAAAATAGTATAGGAACAATACAAGCAATATAGAGTTACAGACAAAGTGGTAGGAAATTAACAATAGTTGTTGTTTTACGTATTAATATCTTCAAAGTGGTTTCTCAGGAAAACAAAGGGAGACATGCAAGATGGATCACATAATTAATCATTAACCGTTCCTTTCAGTAAAGGATAGAAGTCAGTAGTACAACGATGTTAGCAGTCCTGTATATACATACTTTTATACATAATTTCCTCTTCTTTCTTTTCTTTGTTCCCTCACCCCAGTTGGTCTTTACTTTTGAGCATTTTCCTTTCGTTTCACAATGTCTGTCATACCTCCTAATTTTTATTCACTCTTTCAGGTTCTTACACTAATGAGACAATACGTTGCTTACACATGGAAGTCTGGTTTATTTCACTTACGAGTATGGTCTCTAGTTGTAACCATTTACCTGTAAAAGCCTCAAGTTTATCTTTCTTTATAGCTGAGTAGTATTCTGAATTGGCATTTCCCTTCAGTTTCCTCTCTCTTCATTTCCAGGAGTCTCTGATCCATTTTGATGAGACATGGGTAGGGAGGAGTATGTACCAGAACTGTATGCATTACAGTCCTCTAATAGTTTTTTTTGAGGCAGGTCATCCAAGAGAAGAATCCAGAACCACAAAGCATCACTTTGACTCTTACAAAAAGGTCTTGCTTTAAAAGGTACATCCTTTAAAAATTAAGTATTTCTCACCTCATAAGTATATTTGGCAAATTAAAGTTCTGTATGAAGACTATATTAATTTATGGTGAGAATATAAAGTAAACACACTATTTTAACTACCCTTTTCTTATAAATCTACTTTTGTGTTGGCGTTACTTGACCTGAAATAGTGGGTCACCCTAGCAGCTAGGATACCTTTCTTAAAAGGCATGCTATAATATCTTTATTGGACTCAGTAGTAATATCTTTATCTGTTATCTGTTATGTGTTTCATAATAACTTGATTTATTATTACAGGATCATTTTATGTCTAAGGAATTAGCAGATGCCAGATTTAGAGATTTAAGATATTCACATCAGTTAGCCAAAATAGCATATATACTTTAATGAGAAAGACCTAAAACTTCTATTTAACTGCATGTATTTACAAGATTTTCAGTAAACAGTTTTGAGCATCCAATCCATTTGTACAGATTTTTAAATTAATAAACTATACATTTTATATAATTATAAGCTGATAACTCAGTGTGTATAGTATACAATTATGGTCATCTCCACATAGTCTTAATTTTAAATCTTTGGAGTAACTTTATCAGATTTAAACAGTTACTATTTTTACCTTGGAACAGAGAGTCATTTTGTTGTTTATTTTGCCTGTTTTTTGTATTATCATCAAATTGTGATCTGTTTGCAGAAATCTTGTTAAACAGCATATGTATTTGTGAGGGACTATTTAGTTAAAACCATATAAAAATCATATCATATTTGGAATTCACTTTACTGAGCATACATAAACTAACGTATTTAGAACATGTAAGAGATTTATCTTTTGTCAGCCCCAAAAGCTTGCCCTATGCTGACTCATGGGACAGTTGTGCATGTATCCTTGGTGTTTGAGAGCTGCCCAGCAGCAAGATTTATGAACTATGGCCCCATCGTGGACATGTTAATAGTGAATACTGTCCCCATAAGCACTCTTACACATTGCTGAAAAGGGTTTAAATTAACACCAGGACTTCAGAGAATCCAAAGACAGTGCCTGCAAAGCTAACAGTACACATCGTTTACTTCACCACTGCCACTCTTTTGTATCTATCCTGGGGAAACTTTTGTGTATAAGATATGTTGAAAGATACTTGTTTCAACACTATTCATAATAATAAATTGTCCTTCAGTGGAGGAACAGGTAAACTGCTTTCATTTGTATAATGAGACATTTCGTAACTAAAAATGAGTGAGCCTAGTATCTGTTATCAGTATATACTATATGTCAGAAACATAAGGTTGCATGTAAAGACAAGTTTCTAAATAATCCCATCTACCTCTGCACTAAATAGTAATGTTTATCATTTGAATGTGTAAATATACAGTGGTACCTCGGTTCTGAAATGCTTTTGTTTGCAGTTTGGTTCACAAGCAGAACCATTTGACAGAATTTTGTTCTTGTTTGTAAACTGCATCAGGTAACAGACAGGACCACAGCCATCTTTCCTACATAAACACAAATATGACCATCTTTTCCAAAAGCATAGAACAAATTAAGTTTCTGAACCAAGGTACCACTCTATATTTAAAAGTAGAAAATACACATGACACTCACACACCAACTTAATAATAGTTATCCTGGGCTTTTGGTTGAGCTGTACTTACAGTATATTAATTTCTGAAAGAGAGGAGACGAGGAAGTTTCAGTTTCAAGCACATATGGAAAAGTACCATTTTTGCTGATATGTACATGGATTGTATTGTAGGCTATTTAGACATCTGTTCTTACTCATTCTTTTGAGTGTATTATCACAGCCATACATTCACAGTAAGGTCTACATGCTATTTTATGTAGAGAAGGAGGTAACTCTTAAACTGGAATCGAAGTATGTCTTTTAGAATTTTTTTTTTTTTTGTATTTTATTCCTGGTTTCTAATTTAAGTTTTTCAATTTTCAAACCTTCCGATAATTACCCTGAGTAGTCTAGAAGTTGAACTGTCAGTAAATGAAGATTTTTAATGTAAAGTTATTTTCTTTATCCTGTAGGAAAAACATCAGAAAGAGGCTCATTTTCCTTGTACAGCAGAGATACCGGATTACCAGGCTGTCAAGTAAGTTTTGTTAATAAAAAGCAATGCGTTGATTTTCTTTTTCCTATGGTGCTAGGGGTTGGACTGAAGACCTTGCATGTCCCAGGCAAGCATTTTACCACAGACCTACATACCCAGCCCAAGGAGATGATTTTTAAACACTTAAGTAAGGACTTTTCTAATAATAAAAAACGTAGAAATCCACATTATTTTACCATTATTTGTTCATTTAATTCTTGCACTACATATAATTTTTTAGCAATTAAATGTATTTTATTTTCTTTTGCTCCCTTTGTTTAAACTGTTCACCCTCCAGTTTAAGATACTGTCTTTATCAGCAAAGATTTTGATAAACCACTTCCATTTTAATTGGAAATAAAGTAGCCAAAGCTCCTACTCCTCTCTAAAATGCCTATCATTTCTGAAAAAAATTTCTGCATAGTTCCCATAGAAAAATAAAAGTGCTGGTCTATCATTTTGTTAATTTTATTGTTTCATTATAAGCATTTTTTATATAACCAGTGGTATGTATTACTAGTTCTTACCAACTCACAATAGCAAAATAGTTTAAATTTTTGTAATTATTGCAAGGTGGTTGACATCACATTATCTTCAAACTGTGTATCATAGAAGTGTATGTACCATCGAAATCCAAAAATGTTGCAAATCAGGTCTCTCTTTTAACCAGTTAAACATTTACCAGCACACTGCCCATGGTTAGTCAGTTACAGAGAACCAAAACGCATAAATGCTTATTTAGGTCACAGTAGGTCACTAGAAAAGCAGCAGTTGAATTTCTGGCCTCTGATAAGGTACTTGTCTGACATTTTTGAAAGGTAAAAGCGTTAGCTTGGATTGACCATTTCTTCTATAATGTATGTTTAGTAGCATCTGTTGATAAGTACAATATCCTTTTAGGTAAGATCAGTCATGAATTTGTGATTTTTATATTTCATTTATGATTGGTATAAGAAATCACTTTTTATGGTGTAAATTTGAATTTCATAGTGTAAATTCTTTAAGGATTTACAGTGGGGTTCCTGGATCTCACTTTTTGTTTTCTTTTTTTGGTCTTTTTGAGAGAGGGTCTCACTGTGCGTTCAGGCTGGTTTCGAACTCACTTTGTAGTCCAGGCTGGCCTCAAACTTGCAACAGTCCTCCTGCCTCAGCCTCCTAAGTGCTGGGATTGCAAACATAAGCCACCATGCCTGACATGGATCTCATTTGTGATCTCAACTACATCTCAGTCAGACTTTTTTTTGTTTAGTTGTGTTTGTTTTGGGTTGATTGTTTGTCCTATAGAAATTGAACCTGGAGGCTTTGCACTAAGCCAGATCCCCAAGCTTTTTTAAATTTTGAGACAGAATCTTCTTCAGTCACTAAGTTGCCAGGGCTGGGCTCAAATTCCGCCCTACTCTCTTAGAGTACTGGGATTCTAAGGCATGCACCACTATGCCGTGCCTCATGATCAGAGATTTTATTACTCTTCTTCTATAAATAGGTTCAGAGCAAAAGAAAATTTTAAAAACTAATTTATATCATTTTGACCACAAATATTTGACAAAAATAACTGCAGAGTCCCCTAGGTGTAAAGCGTTCTATAAACTGCCACGTGACATATCACTGAGTAGATTAGGCTGCCGGCCTGCTTCCGGGCCTTCAAATTCTTTTCACCTGGATCTCAGATCTAAGGCAGCACTGGGCCAGTCAATACTAAATCTTACATTAGGTCTTTAAAGTCTTATTCCATTGTTGGTTACCAGGTATATGAAAGTGTCGTTCTCAGTTCCTGATAGTGTGTACTAGAGAATCAGTAAATGTCAGCTGAGTACTGTAAGTAAAAAGGAAGTCAGAAGACCTGGATTCATACCCTTTCTCTGCAGTGATTCCCTCAGAGAATGGGATCCCTTAAGAATGGGATTAGCAACTTCTGCTTCCACCTGTTTTCTTGGTCTTTAAAGGTTAAATTCTACATGTTTGTGAGAAAGTAGTTTGTATCTAAACCTGTGCTAGCTAGTGAGTGGTGAACCTAAACCCATATTTGAGATTTCTAGCTATGACATGACTAAATAGTACTTTAGCATGTAGTTTCAGATGCATAGTCTATGCCCTTACCTCTTTCCATTTTATTTTGTTTGGGTGAGGAAAGTACTAGGAGTTTATGTTCATCAAGTACCCCAGGCAATTCTGATTCACATGGACTGGTATTTGTGCTTTGAGAAACTCCATATGCCAAATCTAAGGACATACGAAATATAAAAAAAAAAAAAAAATACAAATTACAGGACTACTGTTTGATAACTCTGTACACAAACATTTTGGAATCAGGCAAGCCAAAGCAAAAGACACCGAGATTACTGAAGTGTATGATGCAATATACAATACACAGTGCTGTGTATAAAATTTAAAGGTACTTAAGCACAGGAAAGATTCATTTCTGAAAACTTCATGTCCCTAGAGAGGAAGTCCAAAATATAGCAGAGCAGAGAGAGGATCATACTGAGCAAGAAAAGCCTCAGTGAGGACAGGAGGGTTCTTAAGAAGTAAAAGGAGGGCTGAGGATATAGCTCAGTAGCGTAAGTGCCTGCCTGCAAGCACTAGGTCCTGAGTTTGATTCCTAGTACCAGCAAAAAATAAAAAATCAAATAAAATAAAGAAGTAAAAGGATTCATCACTGAGAGGGTCAGTGGTTTTATTTTCCCTGTTCCTTATCACTGTACTGCAGTTGCTAGGAGGAAGTATGATGACAGTAGCTGATTAGGGGCCTGATTAAGTAAGCTCAGGAAATTCAAGAGTTAAAAAGGTGTGTTATTCCTATTCAAAGAAAAACATGTACAAGTTAAAAGCTTGCAACAATATTTATTATGATGGGTCAGAGAAGGAAAAAAATACACTTAACTAATTGACTGTTATTTTATCTCACCTATTTACAAATGACAAAAATCCAAGGTAGTGTAAATTAGTAACTATAAAATCATGTCCAAATACCACCTTGAAGCTGTTATTCTTCAATAAAATCCCCTAGGAAACATTAACTCTGCTATTAACATAAATGCTGCCAACATACTGTAAAATTCAGGCTAATTTAATAATATCTGATGGGCCTTACTTCATGTTAGGATGGTGTAATGATACGTCACTAGATGAGTCTCCTCATAGTATTTTCACAGCAGTTGCATAACTGATGGGTCATTGAAAGGAAACTGGTATAGCAGCATTACTAGGAACAATGATAGATCATTCTGGAATTGAATTGCTTTTTTATTGATCCAACATAGAGCGTAGAACCCATCATCTATAGGTTCAGAACCTTTTTAAACTGCCAGAGTTATGTGAAAAAGCCTTTTATCGTAATGACTAATTGATTCATATTCATTCATTAATATTTCTCAAACAAGTATGTATTCAAGTAGTTTGAATATGAGTTTTTCTGTAAATGTTCAAACCTGAAAGATAGCAGAGTCTTGTGTTTTATATTCAGAAAGCTTGAAGTTTCGTTTGAGTTCAGATAATATGCCTTTGAGAAAATCACAACTTTAAAAGCAGTTAACTTTTAGTTACTTATAAATACATCCATACCGTTTGGTTCTTTTCTCTTTTTTCATTATATTCAATCTCACTATTTATACACATTTCTAATGATAAATGATAAAAGGGTGATAAATGTGTATATACCTAAAAAGAGAACTTGAAATAAATGAAGCAAAAAAAATTTGATAGAGAAATAAACGTACTCATATTTAAAAAGATTTGAATACTTCTTTCTCAACAATTGATAGAATAACTTGGCAAAAACAGTAAAGATGGGAACTAAGTGAACTTTCAACAACTTTGACCTAATTGATTTTTATAGAACACTACAACTGAAGAACAGAATTTTCTCTCAAAAGCACATGTTACATTGAGCAGGTTTGAACCATATACTGGCCCATAAAATTAGTATCAATAAATTACAAAGATTTGAAAGTAAGAGTATATTCTGTATCTACAAACAAATTAAATTAGAAGTCAGTAAGCTGTCCAGTGAAACACTAAATAGTTGAAAATTAAAGATACATGTCTAAATAATTCATGGTTTTAAAAAGAAATTACAAGAGAGTTTAGAAAATACTTCTGAGTGATAATGAAAATACCATTTCAAATCTGATAAAATTTATTGATACAGTTAAAGCAGTACCTAGAAGTATAGCAATATTTACTTTAGTATAGAAGATCTACAGTAAGTGAACTGAAATTCTAACCTAAGAAGCTAGAAAAGTACAAAGTAAACCCTCAAGTGAACAAAAGGAAGTGCTAAAAGAAGACCAGAAATCAATGTAATAGGTGAAAAAACTGACAGTGTTAGTAAAAAATGCTGTAAGAAAAATTACCTAGATTAGCTAGAGTGACACAGAAAAGGATAGAAAAGATGAGAGAACACAACTTATCAATATCAGGAATAAAAGACAAGTTATCAGTATAAATCATGTACACATTAAAAAGAAATATTAGCCAGAATTTAATATACAGGTAACTGAGGCATTATAGAACTCCACATAGTCACATTCAGAAAAGACCCTCACCACAAAACATTATAGTAAAAACCGCAGAAGTGCAGCACAAGAAGAGAATATTAAAAGTGGTTAGGGAAAAGGAACAAATTACTCATAAAGGAAAGCCCATCAGAATACTGCTCACTTTACAGCACAAACCTTGGGAAGTGTTTCGAGCCCTAAAAGAAAACAATCCTTAAAATTAATGGACAAGTAAGATAGTGTCATGACAAAGAGCACCTAAGAAATTCATGACCACCAAACTAGCACTCCAAAAAATTCTGAAGGGTGTCCTAGCAAGACACAAGGAAGCTGCCATCGACAAAAGTTCTAATAGGATGAATGCACCAGGTAAGCAGGGGGACAGGTACGGAGTCAGCAACAGGAAAATAAGGCAGTGACACGAAGAAGTCAGTACCTGTCAGGCTGGGTTCAAACTTTCTCTCCTCTTCCTCAGCCTCTCAGAGTGCTGGGGTTACAGGCGTGCGC